AATGATATAATATCATTGGATTCAAATTTAATTCCATCCATTACAGTAACCCACTTGTAACCTACTGTACAGCAGAGCGACATCCACGACTTACCCGCTTTTTTTTTTTAATTTTAATTTTACAACAGTATGTATACAATCTATACAATTTAATGCACAATAAGTGTATTTTAGACTTAAAAATAAACTATTTATTGCTCTATAAATATTCTGCTATGCACAATATTTTTATCCATATTTCTTATGTCCCGTAAAATTCAACAATTGTATATTCTGACGATTCTGCAGGGAAGAGCTAACAATCCAGAGCAAGCACACGTGCGATTTTGGGCAAAAAAAATTTACATAACTTTGCAATTTGTATGTGTACATTACATGAAACGGGAGAAATAAACATGGGTTTTGTTAGTTTTCTAATATTGTACACATCATTAAAAAAAAATGTGATGTAAAAAATTAATAATGTTGCAATAAATGTCTTATTATTATATTTACTGGTTCTAGCCGTGCGATTGACGTCAATCATGCCGCCACAAAATAATCTGTTTAGGGTACTATGCCCTTTTGATTACCTACGTATTTAGCTAATAATACCATATCTACATTTTGTGATACATTAATATATATAATTTGCATGTAGGTAGTTTGATATTTGTAATATAGTAATGCTGTTAATCGGTTTTATGGCCCGTGATGTTGAGTAGACGAATGATAACCGAATGGGCTGATAGCGCAGCAAGCCAGCAACCACGTGGCTTAATAGTTATTACAAAAGAATGCACGAGAATAAATGAGTTCTAGTGGGGAAGGTCTTGTGGCATAGACTTTGTATAAATGGCGAGTTCCAAGTTTCAGRCAACAAAGTGTTTTATACCATRTACAAATTTAAAAAATGGTACTCTGCAAATTCGAAAATATGTTTGCTGTTGTTATTCTTGTATTAATATGTATGCATGCTCTTCATCCTTCAATAGTTATATCTGGTCATATCATTGAAAAGCGATCTTCAGATACTGATTATGCTGCTGCAGGAGCTGCTACAGCCGGAGATACAATAGCAGCTACTGGTGGTGTTATAGCCGCGGGATCACTCTCGGCAGGTCCATTTGCGCCAGCAGTTGCGGCAGTTGGAGGTGTAACTTCGGCCGTTGGAGGATTGGTTTCAGTAATTTCGAGAGCAGCAGATCAGTCATGTCGTGAATTTGGTTGTCACAACAACTACTGTTGGTCTTATTGCAGTTTGGGAAATCAATGGTGCTATACAACCAAATCTTATTCTCAAAGTTTTGATTACGTTAGTTGTACAAGAGATGATGAATGCAATGGATGCTGGAAATGTGCAGGTTCATGCACGTTGTGAAAAGTTAACATGAACTTGATGTGTTTTCACGTATCAATCATATTATTTACGTTAAATGAATTTATAAAAATAAATCAGTTGCATTCTGCAATTACGTTCCACGATGTATCAGTTGTGGGGGAAGAACACAGCTCTAACGAATTTACTAAGTCACCAGACTCTTCTGCCAGCAGGTACGCAATATGCCATGGTAGTCATCCAGCTAATTCTTAAAGCTGCTCAGTGTATAAAAGATTTAAATCTTCAATTAGTCATATTCAACGAGTACGTGTCACTCTTGCTCGTGAAAACAAAGTTAACTTTCCTTAGCCTTCTACAATCCCCGATTTCGATAAACCATAACTACTTCTCCTAACTAAAACCATCTCCTCTTTTCTTCATAAATGTAAAAATTATTTTCTTCTTTTATCTCCGAATTAATTGTTATCTTTAAGCCCATCCTGTCTTTGTTAACGACTTTATTAAATAAAGGTCAATTATAATTATCTTTACCGTTGTACGTTTTCCCATCAATATTATTATATTGTTTTATTTTAATTATAAGCTAATATTATTAGCTTAATCATTTTATTCTTATACATCTTTAACCACCTTTTTAAATTATGTTACGTACCTATACTAATTAATTAATATTCACCTGCGTTATGTTTATATATTTTATTTATAATTAACTATATGTATCTCTTGTTATTATTTTAATTGTTGAACTACAATAGTTTATGTTAGGAGCTAAATAATAAAAAAATAAATCAGTTGCATTAATCAAAATATAATTATTCATGATAGTTATTTATTTTGTTGTTAATAATACCTGAGAAAAATAGTAACACATATACGATTGCAAGAGCTTGAAGAACAGAATGACTCTTTTGAACGATATTAGTTTTCTTATACATTATTTATTTACTCCTTCAGTCCTTCCACATAGTTATAGTATGTATGAAAAATAGATATTTTTCATATTTTGTAATATTATATTAACGACTATAATTATTAAGATATAGAAAGCTCTGTAGTGTATAGAAATCTCAAAATAGTATTTTTCCTTATGACTTTTGACTAAATTAGAAATCATATATCACATATAATAACAACAAGGTGTTAGAAGTTGTTAGAACAATGTTAAGACGTTAAGTTATTATATTACTACTGGTAATACTATATTATTATGAAGGCTAGTAACTGTGATGATTCTTTCACAACTGAACTTCCAGGCTTTAGTAATTCGATGGTAATACATTGGGTCCTTATTAAGTAAAATATGTTTTATTGGATATATCTATCATCAATGACTATTTATTGACATCAATTCCTTACAAAATCACGTATTATTGTTATTGAATAATTATTGGAAATATTGACTGAATATCATATTTTTCAGTAACAAATATACATATACCACTGATTATAAAATAGATTATAATCAATAATAAATAATACATATATTGACCTACATAACTTAATATTTATAACTTACTTAATTCAACAATAATACCCTATAAATAATAATATAAATTCAATTTTGGCAATTTTTTTTTATATAGCA